CCTTCTTTCTTCAATTACTAGATACAAGAGAAGTGCCTTAGGATAATTCTACAGACTCTGGCTTCTTCAGAGTTGTGTAGAAAGAAGACAGAAGCAAAAAATTGTAAAGAAAAGATGCCATAGGAAGAATCCCAATAACAGTTGTGTGAGGCTGAAACCGTATGTCAAATAATTTCAGAAAATGAACCGGCTCTTGTATGACTAAGACTCACTAGTGAGCTTCCGTATGCTTTAAGGCACAAACTGACTGCATAGCTGGTAATTTTAATCAGGGAAAATGCTCATTGTAATTGGCTTTTAAAATAAAAATATCTGGCCTGGTCCACATGCATTTAGCCAGTACGTTCCAGTTAATTAGCATCAGGCAGAAATCTCTCTTTCCTGTCCATATGGAGTCTGCATTTTGTGAACTGGAGGAGGTGGAGACGGCAGAGAGGAGGAACATAGGAAGGATGTGTTTTCTTCGAAGGCTACAGACATCCACCACTGGTCAAAAGGGACTGTAAAACATAGTTGTGCTTTAAGGCATTAAGGGCCATTACAAATTACCTTATTACAAGCTTAAAATGCTTATTTCTGAAACTAGTGATGTTCAGCACATTAACACAGATTCTGTAACGGTAACCAAACATTACAGGAAAAAACACTAGTCAAAACTGACAAACTCTTATTCTTTTCATTAGAGAAGCTTTGTTCTCTGGTCATATATTTCACAAAAAAAAAAATCTGTTCATCTCTTTAGAGAGTGTTAATTGATAAATTGCTCCTTGCTCTCTTCCCTTGTTTAGGAGGTCAAAGGCTGGACGAATTGTTCTGGTAGCCATGCATGTTAATCTGGCAGCTGGTTGGCTTGACAAATAATCTGCCATAAAACAATACAGATCTGAATTTCCAGACCGTAATTGCTCCATGGTAAAGTGCCCAGACTGCTTTAACCCTGGAGCAAAGTAGTTTTACCCCTCTTTCATTTAATCAAACGTTATTCATTCAAACTGAATGAAAGAGCAGTATCCATTTGCTGCAGGATATATATGAACACAGTTAATTATGGCTTAGCTGTTCAACCTGTGCAAGTTCATATTTTAGTTTACCTTCTGACAGCGTGTTTACAAGACTGTATCCTAGAGGTGGCCTGTGGAATTCAGAATGCAATGTGTAAGTCAAAGCATCTATTAATCTTGTGCAAAACTGGAGCAAAATTCCTCCATTTTACTGGGTGTCAAAAGCCTTTCTTTTCTGTGACACCTTTGGTACAGCACTCCCATTAGTCATTTGCTCTTCTCTAGGTTTTAACAAGAGACACAAAACAGTGTTTATTGTTTTCCTCTAAGCAAACACAATCTCAAACTGTCCCTGGATGACTCCCTTGAATGAGGATATGACTCAGGTATCATTTGTTTCCTGTCCTCTCTTTCAACACATCTACAAGTTTAGTGATGCCTGGAGGAAACAAACAGGCCAGAGCTGGGATTTCTCAAAATTCCTTTTATTTGGTGATAAAAAGGTCTGTGAAGTATGGCCTCTACAAAGACTGCAACATTTGTTAAATCTACAGAACGTACAACTCTGTGGGTAGGGCTCTGCAAAGACATACCATCCTCACAGCAATTAATCACCAGCCAGATCTCTGCTACAGCAGGAGGGTCTTGCCTGAGACTAGTGTGAACAAGCTTAGGGAAAACAGCTCCCTATAATCTAGTAAGCTCTTACACCATGGCACTGACCTTTTCAACCAAATGTTGAGGTAATCAATTACTGGGAAAGCTGAATCTCGAGATTTCTACACTACCTCAATATTCATGATTCAGACTGACATTATTATTCTTACCCGCTGGATGCTACTCTGCTTCCTACTGCTTTGCCCTCCTTTCAGTCTCCTTTTAAACTACACTACAGAGCTAGACCCTCTTGGCAGCTTGTGGTGAATGTCCTAATGAATATAAAATTGAAATGTGAGAGAAAGTAATTGGGAAGTAAGAACTGTCATGGTACATTGACTGATGAATAGTCACTGTAATTAGAAACTGTGTGTAATACCAGGCTATGCGGCCCTGAAAGCTGCTTTTGAAGGATCTGAAATTTAAGAGCTTTATCAAAAGATTTTCAGCCATCTAAATGGACTTAGGCCACAGGTAATGCTGAGATCACTATTAAGACAGAAAAAATGTTTAACTGTTGATCACAGAGAGGTATTTGTATTTCCATTTTTTTAGACTCCCTTCCTTTCAAGAGACTTGTTGATATACTACACACATTTATTCATTGCTGACAGCATGCTTGTCTATCATACTAAGCAGTTCAAGTAATGAAAGAAAAATTACACTTTCCCACAATAACTTATTTTCAAGGCAATTTAGCACAATGGAAAGCTTTCTCTTAGCTCTAGTTTCAGAGACTGAGATACAATACTTTTCATTACCTTTTAGTAGCACTAACAGAATCTTTTAGAGGTACTATAAAAATAAAAAGCTCAAGCAACAGAAGAAAACTGAGAAGTTGCTATTATGAAGCAATAATTCTTACCCTGTTTTCATTCAAACATAGGAAAAATGTTATTTGAAAAGCAGATATTTACTGCTGTTCATGTGAGTGAATGCAAATAATAAAAATATTTATCTATTTTATTAGCATAAATGACAACACCTAATGATAACATTGTCTAGTAACTCATAGCGTAACACTTGGGAAATACTTAAATAAGCACATATGTGTACAGGTGAGTCTTAGGGTTAATTGGTACCACTCAGAAGGAATGTATCTGAAAAAGGCATCATGAACAGAGGATGGGAAGTATCTTTGACACGATAGTATTTTAAAGGGTCACAATGATGTATGAGTCTGGTGTTTTCCGGCAGCTTATTTGGGATAATTGAAATTTAATTAACATCTTGGCATCTTAAAGTTATTTAAGCAATGGAAATAGCAATTTTTTTTTTTCAAATGGATACGAATATTCTGTATTTGGCCATCTTGAAAATAATGAGGAAATTAAAAATCTAGACTCCAAAAGGGGTATTTATCTCTCGATAGGTAGCTAGCTAACTGACAGACATTTCTGCACAAAGACTAGAGGAAGTAAACCTTGAGAAATGTTTTGTTACATTGGTGTACACATTTACAAAATCTTCCTGTCTGTAATTAGAATAAAAATTTTAAAATATGAGGAAAATAAGAATCCTATGCCTTTTCTCCCCAAATCTCTGTGAATTTGTCAGCGATGCTACTTCATATCTTGTGTCAGGAAGTAAAAAAAGGCACCTAACAAATTCTTGATCAGGGAGATTTCTTAGTGTCAAATTTCACACCATCAGACATTTTGCATTTTCTCTCAAGGACTCTGACAGTCTTTATTCCAAGGGTTTGGCAGCTTTGAAATACTTTCATTCCAAATGCTTTAACTCCCTCTGATTTCTACTCTCTATCAAGCTTTCTTTTGACAAGGTCCCTGTTATTAGTTCTTTGCATGGCTAAGCTTACAACTTCTTAACTTATGACTTACGAGTTGAACTGTTTCTAGAAATTGGGATTTCATCAGCTAACAGAAGAATGTAATAAGGAAAAAAGAAAAAGACTTGAGTATCATAGAAGTAAGTATGGGCCACTAATACAAGTCCACATGAGAGGTTGTACTGAGGTAATTTCCAACAGTGAAAGGTTGGAATTTGATAACATTGTGGAGCTAATAAAGTTTTACTACTGGAAATAGTTCTGTTGAGCTTTGCCTACAGTTCTGGACAGCCTGTGTTCAAGAAAGAATTACCAGGATGTGTACAAAGAAAATCTGCAAGACTGATAAAGGGAATGGAGATTCTAACCTGCCTGGGGTGACCAGCCCTTAACTTATGCACTAAACAAATAAAAAAGAATGCCCCGACTCTCCCAACCCCCAAAACACACAGACTGCTCTCTACAACCCAATACTTGAGAATAAAGAAATGACCTTTAAGTTGACTGCCAGTAACAGTTCAGTAACAAGATATATATATAGTGGTCATTAATAGCAAAAATTGAAGGAAATAAGTGGATTATTAGAAAATGTTGAAGGACGTTGTTTTTTGATTTTGCGGGTCATGGTACTAGCCTGCATCTGTCATATGGGTACATTTAAGAATAGACGCATTCATATCTGAAACAATGTGCTGAAGATGACAGTAAGTGAAAATGAATCTCAGAGCTATAATCTCCATTAGCATACAAGTGCAGGCAAGTCCTTGAAAAGTAAAAACAAGATGTGACTCAACTCATTTGACAGGTGAAAAAAAGGACAGGCTTCAGAAAAGACATAAAATCGGCAAACGGAGTTCTATTTCATCTCTCCACTAAAAAGCTAAAGAGCAATACACAAAAGTATTAACCTCAAGAAAAGACATCAGAAAAACAAAGAAAAACACACTTTCCTTTTTTCTATGGCAAATTTTCAAACCACCTGACAGGTGAAAATGGATTGCAATGTTGACATAGGTGACACAGATTTAATCGCATGATATCTTGAGTATGGGATTAATGTTCCACAGAGTATCACAAGCGTAACAGAAGATTCTCTCATAGGTTATGTAGGTGTATCGAAAAAGCATTCTCCAGAATTCAGGCCTAAGCTAGCGAAGACTGTAAAGAATTCTCTTGAACAGTGAAAAAACTAAGGTCCTTTCCCCTAATAAACACATTACAGAAGTAACTCAAATTTCTGTTGGTTTATGTTTGCTGAAGTCTGTCTTCGACACTGTCCTGACCTATCTATAAATCTGAGGCAAACTTTTATGCTTGGTACTGACTTTTCAAGAGTCGACTGTTTTTATACAAAGCAACAGTCACCAAATGATTAAAAAATAAACACAAAATCTTCTTGAGCAAAGTACACTCTCCATGACTTACACGACTATTGTTTCTGTGTAAATGACAACATGCAAAATGAAACCAACATTTTAACTTAAAGCAGCACCTTTTCACTGCAATAAAAAAGAAAAAAAAACTAGCCACAAAACCCGCCAATCTATAATTACCTGGTTGGTAGAAATTTGGTGAAAGTTCTCTGGCAACTGCTCTTGCAATATCGCATTCCTGGCGAGCAGCCTGAGCGGCCTGATCTGCAGCATCAGCTTTAGCTCTTGCATGTGCAGTTCTGTACAGAGTAGAAAACAATTTATATGCAGAGGAGTCTTTCATGAATTGCATCAACAATATGAGAGCAAAAGACTAATGTCCTCAGTTACAATAAACTATACTGTATAGTGCACTCCTATGCCCACTTGCCGTGGGTACTGCAAGTCAAAGTACTTCAGACTCAATGCATTACTCCTTTCAGTTCTTCAGTCCTGCTCATCCTTATAGCATATTTCTTGTAGGTACATGATTTACAGTCCAACCTTGTACTTAAAATACTATCTGACTGAAACCTGGGATTATGAGTTTAATACACATTACTGGTATGTGTCCAGAACTGTACAGAAGGTCAGACTGGGCCACCATGATGACTCCTAACCAGGGGTCAGTGAGATCAGGATGCACGGTGTTCAAGGGGACTGTGGAATGCTATCACCTTTAAAACATTCAAAAGTTAATGCTCAGTGCTGGGTGTCATGTAAAACTGAGGTATCTTGGCCCTTCCACAATCAGACCATGTTGGAAATGAATGGGATGGAAAATGTGTTTGATGCTTCAGTAGGATATATGGGGACTTAACAGTTTTAAATCCTTGTACCTCGCTGAGTTTCAAATCCAAAGCAATCTGAAAAGGCAGCTTTCCTGAAGTCAAGACAACAATTTAGAATACTTTCGTAAAGTAATCTGCCCCCTGCTTCCACTTTTTTTCTTTCTGTTATTTCTTACAAAGCCTCAGGAACAGCTTGTTGCAAGTGCCTCCAATTCCAGACTGTGCCAACTGATAGCTGTGTTACTGCAGGGTTGCATTACTATTTGTCCCATCTTCCCTCCCCACTTCATTTTTCAAAGAGTCATCTGTTTAAATATTCCTGATGGCAGTGCTCTCTCTCTGCCTCTACAGCATCAGCACATAGCCTAGAGCTACAAAATGGTTCATTAGAATGGAGGGGAAGCTAAATATGGCAAACCAGCAGAGTTTTTTGAGCCTCTAGAGATATTAATAACATTTCTAAACCAGATATACTAAATTTAATGATCTCAGAATTTTCTCCTAGCATTCTAGTAGAAAACTGACAAATAAGAAAAAAATTAACTAAGAGGACAGCAGCAGCAACTTTTATCCCATGTGCCTGGTGATATTAATCAACAACAACCAAATAAATGAAAACTTTCAACAACTTTGTTGTAAAACTTCAGTTTTATTTTCAAGGAGTAAAGAGGAGTTCTATGTGTTTTAGACAAAGAAAGAATTAAATGTTAGCATTAATCAGAATGAGCACCAAGGGATTAACAGTATGGCAGACTTTGCATTTCTAAAAGGATGTTTAATCCCGTAGGGTACTAGTATAAACACAGACATAAAAAACCCCACATCGACAGTTTCATCTGTGGTGCCTGGAGAAGATTTATTCAAGTTACATCCTCCCTAAAATGTGTGCGGGGATAAATGTTGAATGTTATTTCAAAGCTTAGCTTGTCATAATTTACTGGATAAATATCAGCTCATGCTGCCTTCTCGCAGGTCCCTCTAGGTCTCTGAGAAAAAAAGATAATGAGAAAATACACAGCAACACCTTTGACTTATATTCAGGATGGGGGAAAGAAACCATTAATCAAAACAAGTACACCGTAAAATCCCATATGCGTTCTGTGCAGTTCATGAATGGTTGTACGATACGTGCTTGCTTAGTAACAGTAATCAAAACCCATTCTTTCTCTATAATCATTATTTTCAATTAGATGAGCTATTCTTAGCTCCTGTCTAATTATGTCTATGTAGCATAAACTTAATGAAGCAATCCTAGCACTGGGACATTGTTTTGTGAGATGATAATGTAGTCTGCACACAGATAAACTAGACACTGATCATCCTTTTGTGGTGATAGAACAACCAGACTATTCCCATATAAAAATAGTCTAATACTATCGCCACCGCTACAGTAGACATTTTTAAAATAATATACTAAATAACCAGCATCGGGAACACATACTACCAGAATAGTACATTTATTTATTGATGCCTGTGCATTTTCTGTATTATTCTATACAAGAAGCAAATCACGCATCCTGTCCAAACATACAGTAGCAATTAGTAAGGAATTAAAGGGTGACATGAGCAATAAGCTAGTGAAACTTTTGTCACATGAAGCTGGGCAAAGCAAGTCCCAGCAGGAAGAAGCCAATGGAACAGAAGGCTCCAAAAAGAGCACTGCCTTGCTTGGCTGCCTTATCTATCTCACACCTTTTTTCTTTCAACTTGCACTTCCTGCTATTCTGCCCCTTTTGTACTCACATCAGGAGTTCCAGCAGACCAGAACAGGAGCGACTGTTCAGACTCAAGCACTGCCAAGTCATGTCTCAGTAACACCCTTGAGCAGAGCCTTGGCGCTCAGCTGTCGCTGAGGGACGACGCAACTGGGGGAACTTGTGCCCAGGGGCTTAGGGCACAAGAACGGGGTTTGTGATCCTGAGCAGGCCTTCTACCAGCCAGAAAGGAGTGTGCGCACATGGCTGTGCTGAGGCACTTGCCTGACGGCCTCTTCAGCACGCAGCACTGATGGCATATGGTAAATGTACACCGGCTCAGCTGGTTTCTCCTCAACTCAAAGCTGAGAACACAGGCTCTTCACTATTTGCATTATGTGCTGTTTATCACCTTGGCATTTGGATGCTTTACTGGCTAACTTCAGCAATATGTACTTTATTATCTCAATTTGCAACTGTATATTCAAGTATTTTTTTTTTTATTTCCTGCACACTTACTTGTAAGTATCAGACTTTTTACTTTGACTTCCACACTTGATTTGTCCGTATATTTTCCAAATTATCTGCTTCCAGTGACTGCTGCCTGGCACTACATTTTGATTGTACTTGTTTTATTCTGCCCACACGATCAGAGTGTTATTATCAGAGACTACAGAGAACTATGTTAGTTTTGAAAGACATCTTTTATAATGGGGAGCTATCAAAGCCGGGTAGCCCCACTGAAATACAATCCATTTGTTCCGTTTATGCTTTACACAGTTTGGGAAAGCTGCCTTTATCTTCTGTTCCTGGAGTAATTTTCTCACTGTAAAGTCTTTCAGATGTGTTTACTATCAGTAATTATTCACATAAATTTAAGTCTGTAACACAGTAAGTCAAAATGACCCACATTTGAACGATGACCATCTACCTGAGAATTGTTTTTCTTCCCAGAGAGCTCTACATCTTCCGCGGTGACAAGAAATCTTTGTGAGAACTTTTGAAAGAGGAAACTGAAAAAAACCCCCACCTCTCCTTTCCTCTACATTAAAAAAGAACCCATAGCACTGACTCATGCAGAGTGCTCGTATGAGGTGACAGCATGTGGAGTCTCTGTATCCACCAGCTTCTGTTGTCAGTGAGCGAGAGCTGCAGGACCAATGGCTGAGTAACTTTGCTACTGTTAGAAATTTGATTTTGACTCACAGCAGCATCGGAAAGACGCTTAAGCTCTCTAGACTGTGAGACAACCGATATCACTACTGATACCTTTCTTCTGTGTGTGTGTGGTTACATGGGTAAACATATACACATCATCTTCGCTACAGTAAAGAGATTATGAGCACCGAGTCAAAGGCTTCTTACAAGCAGTCTCCCAGCAATACTGCAATCAAATTTTTATCTACTTATGCCTGAAAAGTGACTTGAAGGAGTACTGAGGGATGAAGAGCTTAAACAACATTATTTAGCATTCTGCCGCAACAATGCTTATATATAATGCCATGTGTCTGGAATGCATTATGTAATGTTTATTGAAATTTAAATCCCATTCAGAACTGTCCATTACCCTCCAGATTAGTTTGTATTTCCGTTGTATCCTTCAATGCACTTGTAATGCTGCCTCATTCATGCAGAGTCAACTGAATATGTAAGGAACATGTTTATTTTTTTATCATTTTTCAGCTTTTATTAAGCAGAGTAATTCCACCACAAAGCTTTCCAGGAGCTTACTTTCTATTTCTTAAAATGATACAAATAATTTTCTCTGTTTTCTATTTGTCCAGTATATGAAATACAACCGTGTTCCTATCAAACTATCCTAAATTAATATCTTAATAATGTTACTTATTAAAAGATTTCCATATTGTAATAAAAAGTAATCTGTAAAGGCTAAACTTACATGAATTTCTCAGAGATATATTTAATTAATGACAGCTATCAGGTTTGTCTGAGGGAACATTACATACTGTGTATTTCTAACCATGTCTTCCTTTTTGAAACTGGAAATGTCTAAACAACAAACCTATCTTCCAAAATTCTAAAATTCAGTGAATTTTCTAGAAAGCAAAGAATATTCTGTTGTTTTTTCCCAGGTATGAAACTAATGAACATTTTAACATTTCTGTCTATTAGAGGCTCAATTCTACAAAACCAAGTTTTTCCTCATTTCCAGGAAAAGAGAAGCTGGAGAGGACAAGGAAAATATTAAGGAAGAATACTTTGGTAGTTTAACTTTTTCCTTGTCCCCATTTTATTTCCATATTATTCTGATATTATATATCAGTAATGAATGCTAGATAAGTATATATCATCTACACTTTTTTAAGACCACAAGTGAGAGACTGTCATTTATCAAGTGTGCTAGGCAGCTAGCACAGCTTCTCTCAGTGATAATACTGGGTGAAAACCAATATTCTGCTATGGCAGGATTAAAAGATACATATGTGTAAAACTATGTAGAGCCACCTAAGAACTCCTGGCTTTGTCACTCTCAGCAACTCGTTGCTGCAATATACCTCAGAAGTGAGGGTTAGTGAGTGAATACCAGCAAGAAATGAGAGTCTCAGAGAGAAACAGAGAGGAGAAAGGCTGACTTAACAGATACTGCAATACAAGAGTTTCATGTCAGCGAAAAACTTGAAAGTGCTCCTAAACTACAGGTTTAATTGAGCAAGTGAGATACATGTCCTCATAAAGGTCTGAGGTTAAAAACTCTTCAAAGTGCTTTACTTGATCAATCTCCACTGCTGGCACTTGATCTGTATCATCTCACCT